AAAAAAAAAAAGAATAATTAAAATTAGGGCAGCCTGAGAGGAAGAAGACACCATCAATGGAGGAATAGTGCTGCCTCACTCAGAAAGTTTCAGTGGCTCCCAGGCTGACCACATACATCTGAACATGGCATTCCAGGCTCTGTACTACCTGGTCCCAGCTCCTTCCCAGCCTTGCACATCCTTCCAGGAACCCCACCCTCCTGAACTCTGATCAGTTTACCTGCTCTCTGAACCTGCCACATACACTCAGAGTAGTGGCTTTGCTCATGCTGTTCCCTCAGCCTGAATTCTCTCCATTCATTTCTATCTCTATCTACATCCTTCAATGCCCCTTCCCTGATATTCCCCCATCAGAATTAAGCATTCTTTTCCTCTGAACTCTGTCCTGTTTGCTTCATTCTGCCCTTTCTTAGGGTCACACATAGACAGATTCTGGCCCACTAAATGATAGACAACTCAAATGTAGCTTCATCATCCTTCTGGGTACATGGTGCTACACCCTTGGCTGGTGTTTGGTAAATGCCAGATGAATGAATACATAAATGAATAAGTGATCAATCAGAAATCTGGTTGTACATGAAGGAGACACCATGTTACAGAGGACCATAAACTCCTAACAAGAAGTTCTGGGCATAACCAACCAGAGAATATGGTGCCTCCTGGACTCTGGGTTGAGTATCTAGGGGCTGGAGGATCTCAGATGTCATCTAGTCTGAGTTGTGCCATATAAATCCTCCACCACACAGCAGATAGCAGGCCAGAGCTCTGGCACAAGTACCTCCAGTGAGTTCAGGCCAAGCATGTGGTGGCTCTAGCACATTGCCAAAGTCCAATGGAAAGGAGTGGGCTATGGAGACTGACTGACCTGGGTTCAGATCCCAGCTCTGCTTTTTGCCAGCTGTGTGGCCTTCTGCAAGATGCTTAACCTCTCTAAGCCTTGATTATCTCCTTTGTAAAATCCAAAACCAAACCCACTGCTGTCAATCAATTCCAACTCATAGCAACCCTGTAGGACAGGGCAGAACTGCCTCCATAGGGTTTCCAAGGCTGTAAATCTTCACAGAAGGGCTGCTGATGGGTTCAAACTGCCGATCTTGTGGTTAGCAGCCAAGTTCTTAACCACTCCTCCTTTGTAAAAGAGGTATAATCTTCTTCCCTCTCAAAGTTGTTATAATAATTATAGGGACTATAGATACAAAGATACATGGCTCCAGCTTATGAAAGGCAACCAATGAATGGTGTTGTTGTTGTTGTTATGTGCCGTCGAGTCAAACCCGACTCATAGCGACCCCTCCTTGGGTTTCCGAGGCAGTATCACTACGGAAGTAGAATTGCCCAACCTTCCTTCCGAGGAGTGGCTGGTGGGTTTGAACCACCAGCCGTCTGGTTAGCAGGCAAGTGTCTTAGCCACTATGCTACCAGAGCTCAATGGTAGCTAATTTTATTTTTATGATGTATGATTAGTTGTTTAAGGAAGGTTTTATGGAGAATTCAAAGGAAGTTCTAAAGTAATGGAATCATAATTAAGTGGGCTAATTATGGAAGTCATTAACAAGGAATCACATGAAGATGATATACCAAAATTGTTCAAGATCAGGGTTACCCAAGTTTTTCCCACAATGACATACCCTATAGATAATGTTTACAAGTAAGACCCTTGCCAGCTCACAGAGCCTGCTACAGAGATGTAGAAGGCTACAGAGATGTAGAAGGCTACAGAGGCTGGCCTGGAGAGATGACCCAGAAACGGTGCTTAGGGACAGTGCATACTCATCTCAGTCCTAATTCTGGAAGTAGGCAAGGGGTAGGAAAATCTAGCTTTCTACCATCATATATTTGGAGTCAGGCTGTTATTGGTTGGACTATGGGATGATCCAGGAGCAAGTGTTAGGAATGCATATAACAGGCAGGACTTTGGGTGAAGGGCAAGAGGGAAGGAAGGAGGGCCTCAAGTCTCAGGCAGGGAATGGTGACCAGAGCCCCAAGTGTAATCTGGGGCAAGCCCCAGGCTTGTATGAAGAGCTAAAATGTTTCAGAAAGTGGGATGATGGTAACTGACTGAGCTTAAGTAGATGAGGAAGGTAGGGGAGGAAAGGATCAAAAGCAGCCTCCATGCCGGGGTGGGTGGGGTGCCATTAACAGAAGCAGGAGGATCTAAACCCTCCTCCTGAGGCTCTCCTGCTTGTGCTATTTCCCATTTCAGTGGGTGGCACTGCCAACCACAAGCCAAAATCCTAGATCTCCCCAGACCCCCTCCCTGACCCTCATCTCCCACAGCTCATCCATCTTCAAGTCCTGCCCATTCTCTCCATCTCTTTTGATCCAGTGTCTGCTGTCCCCATTGCCTCTGTCCTGGTCCAAGCCTCCACTGGCCTCCCCTGGCTCATTGCACAGTCTCCTAATTGGCTTCCTGGCTCTGCCCTCCCCCTCTGTCCTCCCCCTCTGTCCTCCATTCACACCACCACCAAAATTCTCTTCCAGAAAACTAACCCAGCCATGTTCATCCATGGCTTGAAATCATTTGGAAGTTCTTTTTTTGCAATTCAGATCAACTCCTTAGCATGGCTAGGAGGACCTCACAATCTGTCTTGTGCCCTTCCCCACCAAACTTGAACCCAGTCACACCAAACTGCCTCCAAGTCCTAAAGCCTGGACCTCTCATGAGCCCTTTATATAATACTTACTCTGCCTGGGGCCTGCTCCCTGTCTCCTGGCTAGCTCCCAATCAGCCTATCTGACTTTACTCAGAAACCCCTCCGTGACTGGGATAGGAGCTCCTCCCTTATATTCCCCACTCCCTCCTCCATCATGGCTCTTGCTCAGCCATTGTCCCAGAGTAACCTGGAATCTCTCTGCCTCCCTCACCTTTTTGGATAACAAAGGTTATTATGAAAGTGGGGAAGGGAAGTGGCATTTGTTGACTGGCCACTGTATACTAGGCAGTATGTGTAATACAGGAGTCCCTGGGTGGTGCAAATGGTTAATGCCCAGCTGCCAACCAAAAGACTGGAGGTTCATGTCCACCCAGAGGTGCCTCAGAAGAAAGACCTGGCAACCTACTTCCAAAAACGTCAGCCATTGAAACCCTATAGTTCTACTCGGACACATAGGAATTTACATGAGTTGAAATTGACTTGAAGGAAAATGCCTAATATGTGGTCTCATTTGATTTCCACAACTTTTTAACCTTACACTTAGTAGGCATTCAACAATATTTGTTGAACTCATCAATGACCTAATGAGTTGGATTTTTTCATCCTCATTTTATAGGTTGGGCAAATAAGATCCAAATATTAGAATTACTTGCCCATGTATCCACCTTGGAAAACCAATGAGGGTAGTTATGCAGAATCTACTCAATGGCAGTGAGTTTGTAGGGGGTTTTTTTGTTTTATTTTTTGCCCATGTAGAGCTGGGGACCTGAGGTCTTTCTCCAAGGTATTACTGCTTTGCTACAACCTCAGTTAACTTTGCAGGAACAGAGACGTGTACATATCAATAATGACAAAATGAAGCTAACTCTGCAGTCCCCTTCCAATGAATGTCATAAGCACTAATTGAGAGCTTCCTGTGTTTGAAGCCCTGTGTTTGGAGCCCTACTTCCAGGCATATGATGTCTCATTTCACTTATGATTTCTTTAATTCACAGGAATGAATTCAGAGCATGGCCAGACATCAAGCCTGTGAAACCAATAAAAGCCAAGCCCCAGTACAAGCCCCCAGATGATAAGATGGCTCATGAGACCAGCTACAGTGCCCAGTTCAAAGGGGAGGCCAATAAGCCCACACCAGCTGATAATAAGGTTATTGATCGTAGAAGGATACGCAGCCTCTACAGTGAACCTTTCAAGGAACCCCCAAAGGTGAGACAGACCTTGTGGGGAGCCCATGAGAATAGCCTGGGATGGAAGGGTTAACAGCAGCAGAGCATGGGAATGGGCTACCACCAACTCTGACCCAGCCTCCAAGGGCATCTTTAAAATCCCTCCTTTCCAAGGTAACCATGGGGAGGAGATGGCAGAGGAGCTGTTGTGTTGTGGGAAATTGCAGTCAATGTCATGAGACAAAGTATGTGAGTTGCTGTATGGAAAATGAATTTGCTTTGTAAAGTTTCACCCAAATCACAATTAAAAAAAAAAAAAAAAAATCCCTCCTTTCCTCTGTAGCACCTGAGACAGAGGGAATGTTCAGATGGAACGTTTGTTAAATTCAAAAGGAATAGTAAAAAGGAACATTACTAAAATAAAAAACAGTTTAATGACTGGCAGATTTCCAGAGAACTAGCTTCTGAGTTTAAGAAACTCAGGGGAGAAAAGTGGCAGAAAATCTCACCTAAATCCCCTTGTCTTAAAATAACTGTGTTTTTTCCTCTGAAGGGCTGATCCAGTATTGCAGGCCCCATTGCCTAGCTTCCTTCCCATCCAGCCCCTGGCTCATCCTCAGCTCCCATCACTGGACCCTTCCTTCCCTTCCCAGCCCCTTGAAAAGTGCCTGCCCTTTCTCATCCTTTCCCTTGATAAACTCCATCTACCGACAGTTCTCAGTCTGTCACAATACATCTGTCATATCAGCAGCAAGATGAGTGTCAAGTAATTTGTTATTATAATAAATAGTTTATGAGTGATTTCTATTTCTAAGTAAATTATAGTGGATTCCAGGAGTTTTTCTTTAATAACACTACTCTGCCTTATTTACATCTCACCATGCTTTCATTAAAGGGAGATAAATGTTGGAGATGTGACTGGTAAAGCAAGAATCACACATGCCAAGCAACTTAGCATATCACACGAGGGCACATGGAGTTGTGTAAATATCAGCTCTCCTATATCTAACAGCAGATAAAGGTCAGAACCACTGCTCTAGAACCTAAATAGGTTCCTGCTTTTGCCTAAAGTCTTAGACTCAAGTGGAGTTTCCTGTCTGGCTCAACACTAGTTTACAGGTAAAGTGACCAATCAACCCAATTTGCTTGAGAATCTTCCAGTTTTAGCACTGAAAGTCCCGTGTTCACAGAAACTCCTTGATCCCAGGCAAACCAGGAGGACTGGTTATGTTATTTGCAGGTCAAGGATGACTGAAAACTGCTAGATCTCAGTGAGTGAGTGACCTAACCTGTCAGGCCCAAAGAAGGTTCAAGGAGAGAAAGGAAGGAAGATTGGGGAAAGTAAATCTAGAGATGGCTCAGGCAAGATCATGCCTAGAGGCTCCAGGGTTCTCTGAGAAAGAGAAGGTCAGACTATCTCCTTAGAATGAGGGAAGCCAAGCTACAGGAGCAGGGGCGGATTACTCAATAAGCAAGGTAAGCAGGTGCTTACTTGTGTTTACTGATCTGTAGTGAACAGCTTCACTATTCACTAAACACAAGTAAGCCCCTGCTTACCTTACTGGGTACTCTGTTCCTGGCAGGGACTGTAAATTTGAAAAGATGTTTTGATTCTGTAGGAAGATGCTGTGGAGTTGGGAGAGAGGCAGCTCTCAGCCATACCTAGAAACAGAATCTTTGATATGGTAAAAAATGTGAAATTGTTCACTACAGATTAGTAAGTACAAGTAAGCCCGTACTTACCTTGCTAACTAGGTAATCCGACACTGTAAAGAAGGGAGTTTGGGGAGAGTGCTTGGAACGGCTGAGAAGAGGATGGCTGGGCAGTGCTGAAGGCTTGTCTGAGGCTGGAGACCATCTGGCCCAAAGCATCTCAGTGAGGACATTTCTCCATGAGCTCCCATCTTAGGGGCACACAGGGAAGGCCAGCTTATGCTGCAGTCTTAAACCACCCCAGAATCTATATGTCTGACATCAACGAAGGTTTATTTTTGATTTACACATGTCCACTGTGGGATGGCTGCAGCTCTACTCCACATCCATTGTATTTCCACGGACTCAGGGTGACAGAGCATCTCTCTCTCTGGCAGAAGGAAAAGAGAGCACTAGAAGTACATGCTGACTCTTGAATCTTCTCCCTGGAGGTGACCCACATCACTTCTACTCACATTTCACAATTAAAGCAAGTCACATGCTGATGCCCCGGGTTGAATAGGGTGATGAGGTGTAACCTAACCTTCCCACAGGGAGGGACAGCAAATACTGCACAATAGTAATATAGTGTACCACTTGGGGCTGTCCAGGGTTCAAGATTGGCAGGTCTCAGGCCCATAGGGCCAGTGAGACTGTTGTCACAACAAATGACCAGGGAGTTCAGATGGGAGAACCCAAATGACCCAACATCAACGTAAATACTTTATACACGGTGCTCCATCAGTGTCAAAGTTTATCATGACTGTTATTGTTTACTAATATCTTCTTTCCAAACTCTCTCTCTCCCGCCTCCTTCTATTTTGTGTTTCTGTATCTGCGGTCTGTTTGTCTCTCCATGCAGGTGGAGAAACCTAGTGTTCAGAGCTCCAAACCAAAAAAGACCTCAGCGAGCCATAAGCCCCCGAGGAAGGCCAAAGACAAGCAGGTGGTGTCGAGTCGGACCACCAAGAAAAAGAGTGCGGAGGGTTCCAGTCCCGCCAAACCTGACGATAAGGAGCAAAGTAAAGAGATGAACAATAAACTGGCTGAGGCTAAAGAGTAAATTTCACTGCACTTTCCTTTTTACTCTTCTCTTCTTTTTTTCTTTTCTTTTCTTTTTTTTTTTTTAAACCAACCAACAAAAAAGGCCACAAAATTAATTAGAGGCTTCTCATCTGCCTTGGTCCTGAGTGTTCCGGGAGCTCTTTGGCTTGGTTTCTTCTCACGGAGGAAGCTGGTTTCAAAGACTGTGTGGTTCGCTTCCTCTTTAAATCTCGACCCGAGGGCCTCAGGGCCTGCGCGTCTGGCTGCCGGGTCCTGGGAACACGAGGACGCATGCTCGGCTCCCCGGCTGCGCCTTTCCCTGTCAGTGAGTCGCATGCTGATGAGGAAGGCAGGCAGGTCTTGGTGCGCAGCTGCAGCTCCCGGCTAGCTGCTGAGGAAGTCTACTAGTACTTGGAAGCATCTGTAGGGTGCCCTCCTGCGATTCTTCCTCAAGGTCTGTTTCAGTGGTCAGTTTTGAATTGTAGGTAAATATGTTCTTTTCCCAAACTCAGAAAATGATCCTGTGTTATAGGTCAACTTGGGCTTCGGCAGTTGACATAATTTGTGGGTAGAGTGAAAAGACAAAAACAATGTTGGCCTTAATAAAACGAAGTGAGTTGTGTGTGTTAAGTTTAAGTCATTTTTTCATAGACTATTCTGTTAGTAATGTATGGCTGTATTTAATTTTAAATCAGTGGGCTTTTAATTGTATATCAAGTCATAGATAGGCCACTGATGGCTAAAAGTAGGCCAAGGTGGTGAAAAGGTTAGGTGTTTTAGGTACATTCTAGAAGTCAAAGAAAGGTCACAAAAAAAAAAAAAAAGAGGAGGCTGTTTTCCTCTGTTTACCTTCAGTAGATCACCCGTCCAGTGCTGCCCATTTTGCAGAGTAACTGATTAAAGGCGGCTGAGGAAGAAAGTTCAAGGTGTAAGGATAATGTCTTTAGAATGGGACTTAACTGGCTTCTGAGAAATACCAGATGGGAAGTAGACATAGTAGCAAAAGTGGCGATTTTTAACTCTTCTCTTTTTGAACTGTGCTTGCTCTGCTCAGAGAGGACTAAGGATGCCCAAGCTTCAGGTTATGGGGAAATTTCTATAACTTAGCTAAAGACTAGGACAGTTCCTTGCTAAGTGATTAGCAAACATTTTTGGCCTCGTAAATGGATAAAAGCAGCTCTCAAAGTATTGTGTGTCGTGTGTCCGTGTGGCCAAAGCCCCCACTTTAGCTGTGCTAGAATTGTGTTGTAGGAGTTAAGGAGTTGGTGTGGAAAGATGCCCAGTGTTCACACCATACCAAAAAACCCACTGCCATCAAGTCAATTCCAACTTATACCGACCCTGTAGGACAGAGTAGAACTGCCCCCATAGGGTTTCCAAGGCTATAAATCTTTATGGGACCAGACTGCCACATCTTTCTCCCACAGAGCAGCTGATGGGTTTGAACCTTCCACTTAGGAGCTGAGTGCTCTGACCACTGTGCCACCAAGGCTTCTAGTGTTCATAAAGGAACCAAAATATCTAGCAGAAAAATTATATTTGCAAACGTAAAGCATTGGGATGTGTATATTGTTTCAAAACACACTTGATTTCTTGTATCTTTAAAGGTTCTTATTGTCCTTAGCATTCTAAAATTGCTGGACTATTGTATGACATCAAGGCTCTGCTCAGGCCTTCTTTTTCTTTTGTAATGACAGTGGTACAGAGTAAAGGTTACCTGAAAAGTCCTCTAGGTCCTTCCCGTTTAAAGGAAGCAGCGTTTCCACAATTCTCTATTACTGGGACCATTCAGACTGCAAAGTCTCTGTTTACACCATTGTGTTGTGCACATTGGGGCTGACTGAGAAGTCTTTTGCAAATTAATTCAGCAAGTGCTATGCGGCCCATATTTCTTAAGAGAACAGAAACAAACAAACAAACAAAAAACCCACTGCCATTGAGTTGATTCCCACTCAGAGCAGCCCTACAGGACAGAATAGAACTGCCCCAGAGGGTTTTCAAGGCTGTAAATCTTTACAGAAGATTACTACCTTATCCTTCTCCTTCTCCTTCAGAGAAGCTGGTGGGTTCAAGCTACCAACCTTTTGGTTAACAGTCAAATGCTTTAACCACTGTGCTACCAGAGATCCTTTAAGAGAACAGGGATAGTAGAAATGGAGTGCTCTGTCAGAGCCCCTGTGGTCCTCCTCCTATCTCAGCATACAAAGCCACGTGGAAGGAGAAGTATTGAAGAAGGTAGAAAATGTTAGCGAATCTCAATGTTTATGAATCCCAAGTTTTCAACACCTATCTGGAAATTACTTGATTAGACCTCAGTATTGATTCCAGTTATTTGTTAACTCATCTTAACATTGACCAGGGAGCTCTAGCAACATGATTTTAACTTTATCCAGAGAATTCACCAATTTATGTATGTTCTCTCAAGATTCGGCATCAGACATGTTGATCCTAACCACAGTTTGCATTTTCCACAGCAGAATCATATTTTTTACAGATCAAGTAAATCTATGTTTACAGAGCACAGGGAACATTCATTCAACATACACTTAGTGAAAGCCTCTGTGCCAGGCACTGTGTTAGTAATATAAATTAATTTGTCTCCCCAGCAACACAACCAGAAGGATGCATGTGGCTTGATCCCAAATTGTGGACCTTACCACAAGATCCCATGGGTTTCTCCACCCTCTGAACAGCCCCCAGGGACTACGTTTCCTACCCTGCTCCACCTAAGGCTTTAGATGACCTGTATAATGTCTTTCACAATAAACAAGGTAAGTGTGGGCTTACTTGTGCATACTTACCAATCTGTAATGGAAAGTTTCACATTTTTCACCACATCTCTGATGAAAGCCAGTTGTGGTATAAAACATATAAAACTATTCAGTACAGATTAGTAAGTAAGCACAAATAAGCCTATGCTTACCTTGCTTATTGGGTAATCCACACCTGTCCAAACCTTCAGTATCCCCATCTTTTTAACACACACCTACACACAAGAAAACCTTGTTTGTAGTTCACTTTGACTCTTGAATGTTGGCAAGAAACTTCCCTTTGGTTTCTACTGTTTACAAATAAAACTCAACTAGTCTCATTCTATATTCCAAGCAGACTGACTGAAACTGATTTTTGTTTCACAAGCAGTGTTTTGATTTTGTCTTTCTGAAGGTGGCCAGGCTTCCAATGCTTGTTCTGTCCTTTTTCATAAATTCCCCTATGGTCTCCCCATGTCCCCCTGGCAAAAGAGCAAGGACTGAAGCTTTCCCACTATCTGCTTCACCTGCCTGCAAAAATGATCCGTAGAACCACGTGCTGACTCCCCTGCAGCTTTCTGACATGCGCCCCATGCTCCTGTCAGGCCCATATGCCTTTGCCCCCCTGAGGCAAAACAGGAAGTGTCTAATTACGATTTTGTGGCCTGGGTTTTGTTGCATACCACAGATTGTCTTTGTAACGTGTAGAGCACACCTCTCTTGGTGCTATTTCATTCCTGCTGTTAGTAAGAGAATGACAAAAAATATTCATGTATAGCCAATTGATTGTGACGTGCTTGTGGTCTGTGCTTGCTCAGAAAAAAAAAAAAAAAAAACTAACAATTTTTCCAATTATAAATAAATGCTAAAGACGAACACCACTTTCTTGATCTTATTTCCTTGATGAGGCCCAGCTGAGTAGTTGAAGGAACCAGCCTTTGCCATTTGAGCCATTCTCCACAAGATGAGCTGTGCCCTGCAGTTTTCCTGGGGTTCTCCATAATGCAGCTTGACTCTGTTAGATTGCTTCTCAGATACTAATTGCAAGCAGTCAGAGCTAAGTGTGGGAAAGGCGAAGATGGACCGGGAGACCTACTGGCCAACAAGGTAGTGTAACGTTTTCATCCCATGTTGCCAGGGACCAGTGACCGCCTGTGCCTAGCACCACCTCCCCACAATGGGAGGCTCGGCTCTGACCCTCTACCCGCTTCCTATCATCTGGCAGATATGCCTTCACTAACTCATTTAATTTATATCTATTTTGGAGGTTTCACCCTCTGGGGGCTGGCTCACTGTGTGGGTGATGGGATGCCAAAGGGTTGTGTGCCTAACATGGGGGTGCGATATAGCCTTTTAGAGGCTCAAGTAGGGTAACAACAGATCAGGTATCTGCAAGCTCAGGTGAAAGACAGATTTCTTCCTACTGGGGTTGGAAGCACAGAAGGCTTTGTGGCAGAGGGTGCCCTGGAGAATGGGTGGAATTTGGATGTGCAGGGCATGCAGGAGCAGGCCTGTAGGCAGGTGAACAGGTACAGGACTGGGAAAGTGTGGGGGTGGGAATCTCAAAGCTAAGGCTAAGTTTGCCTACTTTGATATCCCTTCTGCTAACGTGAGATACAAAAGATTTTATACTATGCATGATCCCCCTTCATTTATCTAACACGTGTTCACTCAGTACCTATTATGTGCCAGGCATGGTGCTGGGCACTAGGGAAACCAGGATGACCGGGACCCAGCCTCTGATCACAGTGGTGCATGAAGGAAGAATGCATTCTAGCTGGTTCCATGAATCAGGGAGGACTTCAGCAGATGGGTAGGTGTTGATCACGTGAACTGGGTTGGGGGAGGCAAAGGCATGCCAGACAGAGGGAGCTGCATGAGCAAAGGTGTGGAGGGCTCAAACGCCAGGTGAGCCTAGGCCCCAGGGAGTAGGTCAAGGCACAGGCAGAGCTCAGTTGTGGAAAGGCCTGGGATCTCCATTCCACATGCCAGGATTGCACCCCACACTCTCACGTGCTTCTCACCATCATGCTTCTCTTCCTCACCCACCCATCAGGCAACAACCACAGGTCCTTTATGCTCTAGGCTAGGAGCTCGAGGGTGGGAGTTTTATTCTATTGTTTGTCCCTGGTATTTGGGTCTTTTGGGGGGAGGCAACAGTGGTAGGAATCAAGGGTCACATAATTTAAAAATAAACACTATGTGTTTGTTTTCCAGATGAATAGAAAACATTCTATGCACCTGCCTGCTTTTGTATGAGGCAGA